TTATGAATTGGGGCTATACAAATAAAATTTAATTGAAAAAATAGTGTAAAAGTCAGAAGACTAGAAAGGCACTATACAAGTACAGGTCCATTTACCAATTGAAAACAGGGAGACTAAGACCACCCTCTTTAAGAGGTTCATGAAGGTTATGTTTGGATATCCTGTGTGATTTGTAGCAGTGTGATAGAATTGAGCTTCTTTAAAAAAAGATGGCATGAATTCCTGTTTGTGGTGTGCAGTTTGACTTTCCGTCATGGACAATCTTTACTGAGTGCTTGCTGGGCGCGCGTAGGTTATGTAGATGATTGGCATCTGGAACGGGGTGTTGTTGAACTGGTGTGCGATTGGTGCATCGGTGGTACTTCGTCGGGTCTTAGAACCTAGGATCGTCATCAATGACTTCTACCGTTCTTGGGTGCAGGCTCTATTTATTATCGCGTATGCTGTTCGTCTTCTTCGTCTCGTGATGGCTCAGTGTGCACTGACTAGTATGATTATGGTTTTTTTGCTTCGCCTGACTGTGCCTAGTTGTGCAGGGAAGAAATGTTGTTTCGCTTCTGCTGCATGCGCGTTTCTTGAAGCCAGGCTTAGCCAATCAGTTCTTATTGCGTAGGCTCAGCAGGTTTTGCCACAGCTTGGATTTTTTCTTTTATTTAATTTCATTTATATATTTCATTTTATTGTGTAGTGCCAATTCATAACAGACAGTTATTTCAGGACACTTCATCCTATATATTAGTAGCAGGGGTCTAGACCGTTACTCCTTATAGAAATTTTTTATTGGTTAACAAATGACCTCACACAGTGTCCCACCCGTTATAGCAAGCGGATCAGCGGCGCACGGCCGTCACGGTCAGGGTCTGCTTCGACCAGCGGGTGTTGGGGTGAGACCAGAGAGAGATGCGAGAGAGAGACGATGAGAGAGATTGAGAGAAGAGAGAGAGGATGAAAATTTGTATCGAGGGGAGAGAGCATTATGACAGTTGCATCGACAGAAGGACAGAGACAGAGAAAGGTGCAAGGTGTTATTAGACATGTTCACAGTCTACTTTTTGGTGAGGTGAAAGATAAACACTTAGCAGAGATCTTACAACAAAAACAGAGAGTCCAGCATTCAAAGACAACACGTCTGCCCCCAAAATCTCTTTTTCAAGCATGACTTGGCCAAGAGGGCAGCATAAACATTGTTACAACAGCTAATAAAAATGGATACAGGTGTCACACACTACAGATGAGTGAAGAAAATATCCACTTAACATGGAAGACAAGGTCAGGGACAAATAGCTATTATGATGCATAAACAGAGACAATTTACTGAAACAATTCCAATGACAAGTTAGAAGTAATCACATTGACCAAAAGTAAAAATTTTTCAATCATTTAAGATTGACTTAAATCCCCCCATAGTAATCAGCTCTGACAAGTTCACGTCCTTCTGTACATTATTCCATGAGGCAGCATATCTAAAAAAAAGTTTTACGAAGTTCTGTTTATGATACATACCTTCGTAACGATCGTTATCTTGAAATAGCTCGGCATTCTTCTTAAGCATCACGTAAGGGGCTTCCTGCACGCATGGACACACGGACACGGACAGACACATGCATACAGTGATTTATGCTTATTGTTTTCACGGTTATTTCTAACTATATGACATGCTGTAATGTGAATTATGATTGATTGATGATGATATGACTTATATGAACTTGCAATTTAAAAGTACAGAAAACACAGCCTTTGCATTTATTAATCATATGCTTGTCCATTTAACTTACAGCACTTATTGTTAATATGCATAATGTAACATTGCACTCTGTCATAATGGCACAAAGAATTATATGTCAGGAGGAAAATATCAGGGGTTTCTTTAAAAAAAAATTACATTTATGTAAAGAAAGCTGAGAGAATGCCCAATTCCGAGCTACAAATTTTACATTAGTAACTTCTCATGTCTGGGCTCTGTTCAAACTGAAATACTCTCAGTAGCCTAAGCACCTTTGCTCATTTCCAATGCGACTATTAGATTATTTTGGGTTTTTCACTTGACCTACACATCAACATTGGGTGTTACAGTGACAAAGCCACTGCATTAGTCTGTTCATTACCAGTATTGTTGTAACAATTACTGTCTTGTTTTCCATTCCCATGGTGTCGTTTGGGTAAAGGTCCGATTTTGTCACCACCATTTTATCCACTTCATTCCAATAGCCAATCTAAGAAAACAAACACACAGACAGGTCGTATATCTTCCACATAGCTACACGCTAACATGGTTTTTGTGACTGATTCTTTAGTTACCTTAACAGGTCCATTGTTCTTCAGCTCCATAACTGTCACTGAGTAGTTAATTCTCTTCCCATACTGATCAAACTGAATGTTACCTGTCAAGCCATCCACACGCACCTACACACACACAC